GCAAGAGATCGTAAGTAATGATACGCGAGTAGTAATAGTGGAAGGATAAACAGGTTAGAAATACGCACCTCGGTCGCGAAACGCCGATACGTCTCGACACGTCTTGCTATGTTTATTTTCAAAGTATGAATGATGGTCGTCCTCTGTGCTCGGCAACGCTCGCGAATTAGGCGGCGGGGTGGGGGAAGCTCCGATGTCTCGCGAAGCTTGTATTACGAACCCGAGGGATGCCTCAAATAGAAACCGCGGATAGACTGATTTTAGCAAATTATTTACAACTTTAACTAGTCAAGGAAACGCGAATAATTCGTACTTTTCAACTCGTATGCATTTACACGCAACTAGGCTGTTGCCTATCACACTAATTCAGTGAGTTTCTCAACTGACCGCCATCCATGAGAAGAGGCCGCTAAAATCAGCTCCGAATTTTCAGGTCGGTATGGCAGTCAGATTCGGCCGCGAAAGTCCATAAGATGAAAAATCTACTCGTATACCTCGTCTGTGATCTAATCCTAAATCGATTTGTAGTTGACGAGTGTATTTGAATTTTTGTGAGAAATTAATACACAATGAAATACTTTCACGATTGTTACGACAAATGGAATGGTTTTTGAAGAACGCAGCCATTAGATCATATTATTTGTTATGTAATTAATAATTGTATTAATTACATACTAAATAATAATCCCCAGGTCTCACCACGTGGAGGTTGCTGCGAGTGGAGACCCGAAGGGAAATAGATGGAATCAAAGTTCCATCGATCTCCCTTTTAGCTAAGCTTAGCTGGATTACTAAACTAGAGAGATAGAAGGAAGCAATGTTCCTTCGATCTTCTAGTTTAGTTGTACCAAGTAATTATTTCGTTTGAAAAGGGGTGAAGCTATTTTGTGGGATACGCGACGCGACGCGATGCTGAACCGTGCGGCAGATCTTCGGATCGAATCAACACTGCCCTTGGTAGATTGATTTCTATTTCTAGAAATCGATCTATCATGGGTAGGCGACTAGATCTTTCGGACAAACTGGACGGCCGATCACATGTGTCAATCGATGAAACAGCGGTGATCGAAGCTAGGAACCAGAGAACGAGTCGAGAGAAGCTACTTGTTAAATAATTACTTGGCAATATTGGGAGACGCATACAATAGGGACTTAAAATTAACGTCGAAGCTCAAGTCTGGTAAAGTTAAAACTAAAATTCGGACGATAGAAGGAAACAAAGTTCCTTGGATGTTCTGGTTTAGTTGTACCAAGCAATTATTTGGTTAAAAAGAGGGTCGAAGTTAATTTGAGGGGCACGCGAAGCGACGCGACGCGACGCTGAACCGTGCAGCAGATCCGAGGATCGAACCTACTGCCCTTGCTAACTAGATCTCTATAGGATAATGGACGGCTGCGACTCCGAATCGAAGGTCTCCATTGCTCCAATGCAACCCGCCGGGAGCCCGAAGGACCCGACTCAAGTTGTCTGACATAGAGAGAGTACCTGAAACAGTGTCGACTTTCGCTGGAAGGTATGCGTTTCCGCAGAATACGGAAACTCCACACCTTCCAGCAAAGTACCATTTTCCCTCGATCGAGCTACCAAAGGGAAGGCGATTAGATCTTTCGGATCAGCTACACGGCCGATCACATGTTTCAATCGATGAAACAGCGGTGACCGAAGCTAGGAACGAGGGAACGAGCGAGAGACAAGCTACTTATTGAATAATTGCTTGGTAGGACGCGGAGATACGTATAATAAAGAAGGCTTCGACGTTAATTTTAATACTCGCGACGAAGCTTAAGACTAATCAACTTGCAATTAAAGGTCCCTCGGCGGTTGTGGCGTTCTCCCTCGATGTCCTTGCGATTAACCCAAATTTAAACTGAAATCAAAACTCATATGTATATTAGTGAGATATGGTAGGAAATTTAATAAACACTTTAAAATGATCTATCACCTAGCTAAAGGGAATTGAACAGAGTATATGAGCAAAATGTTACAAGAATTTAAGCTGAGAATTAAAAATAAAAATCTTATATTAATCAGTGTCGAACAACGAACACGAACGAAAAAACGAGTCAGAGACATCGAAACAAATACGGTATATGCATCGACACAATGTTATTCATATCAAAACGAACACTCCTAATAATGAAAGAAACTTGGATCGAGACACCAAGTTGAATCAACACCAAACAATCAAACGAAATGGAAGAATCGAACAAAGTACCTCCGTAGAATATTACGAGAATTCGAGCACGAACGTAAAAATATGAATTCATGAATTTGTATAGAAACAAATATAGTGTATGATTGAAAACAATATTATATTATTATATCCTGCAATATTATACATATCGAAGCAGTCACATAAATTCGCAAAACAATGTAAAAGTAGAAACAGAGAAAAGGAACATTCATAATAACCAAATAAAATCAGATAGATAAATAAAGTTGAATTCACATCAAACAAACAAATAAAAATAATAAAATATAAATAAGTGGAGTGGACTTACTACTTGTTGTCAGTACATAGGGTAGTTACCATAAGGGCCAGCTGTAAAGTAAGAAAATATTCATATTATAGCAACATCGGTTAGATAAACAAGGCAAAATCAGTTCATTGAAGCAAAATTGGCATCAAACGATAGAATAGAAGAGGGGAGAGAATTTTTAAACAGTTCTTACCGTTGGTCATCACCGTCCGGCACTGGTCAGTAGTGGTCAGTAGTGGCAGGAACGCGAATCAGAACTGGTCAGTAGTGGTCAGTAGTGGTCAGTAGTGGTCAGTAGTGGTCAGTAGTGGTCAGTATTGGTCAGCCATGGTCAGCTGTGGTCAGCGCTGGCCAGTAGTGGTCAGCAGCGGCCAGCAGATGTTAGCAGCGGTCCCCAGTTCTCCTTTGGCTATTTGTACACTCCCGAATTCGCGACGCGACTGAAGAAATCTTCGCAGTGAACCTGCTTATATGTCTAAGGTGATGAAAGGGTGGGGAGACCAGTCAGAGCCAAAGTTGAAGATAACAGGTAAGACTGTCTCGTCTACAAAGAAACTATTTCGATTGGTCCCACCTCTTGACCATTTCTGGATCTTCACTGGACCGCTGACCTTGATGTCCACCTCACTGTTGACCACCAGTGACCATAAGCTAGTCATTGTTGATCATCGACCCATTAAAACCATTACGAAGATTAAAGCCTTCTTACGAGGATTCCCTTACAATTTGATGCATGATCTTTTTAACATTTTGTTCCACTTTGGAAGAGTGTATCTCGTTAATTTTTGTCTATTTGTATGTCAATTCGAACAATTGCCATACTGAGCAAAAAATTCGGAGGTGATTTCAGCGTCCTCTTCTCATGGATGGCGGTCAGTTGAGAAATTATTCACTGAATTAGTATCGATAGGCAAACAGCTGTAGTTTTGCGTAAATCCATGTGAGTTGACTATGAAAGGGATTAAAATTCATTTCTGAATCTGTTGGTAACGTTGCGAGTGACAAAAAAATGGTAATGGGGTCCCGGGACCCCAGAAACTCGGGCCGTAAAATTACATTAGGTGAAAGGTCTATTCATATACCTCGTCTGTGGTGAAAGGTCTATTCATATACCTCGTCTGTGGTGTAGGGTCTACTCATATACCCGGTCTGTGCTATAATAAAAAATGCTCGAAAGAATTGATAAAATAAGGAAGAATACTGCGTTACCGTTAGTTGGTAATATATCTTGAAACGTCGCTTTAGAATTTTCTACTTGATTAACAGTCAGTAACGACTATTTTTACATTATGGGATTAGAGTTATCTACAGGAAAATTGCGCGCATTTAAAAATGTATTTGATATTCAGATTGAAGTGTCATGCTGTGTAAAGAGAATAGTTAATGTCACTTTTGCAGAATATATTAAGAAGATTAAGAAATTTCTGTCTCTCTATACCTAAACAGTTAATATGTACACAAGTTGTATGGATAAGGTTTTATTTTTAACTGTGAAATAAAGTATAGTGCAAACATAGATATGGAGAGGCCGGATCTAAAGAAACGAGGTTATTATTCCGAAATTGTCACAGGTAAGCGAACGAAAATATACGTGTATACTAACTTTTTCGTTATTTTTTTCTCATACGTAACAAAAATAGTCATATAAATTGTATGATGCGCAGGTACTCCGGAGCAACCCGTGAGACCAGAAGTAGTTTTATTAACCACTGCTCCAAGAAGAACCAAACTTGCTTGGCAAGTTTTTACGGAACATCACAGTGCTCGCGTGCAACAATTAAACGACCAGGAAACGTACAATTTTCTCGGCGAGGCTAAAAGATGGATGAGCTTTCCCGAGGATCGATCAATCGTGAGCAGAGAAAAATACTCATAAAAGTTACCAAAGTTCTCAATCGCAAGATGGTGGACGGCCTTCGTCACCGAGTGTATAATAGACGATGCAAATATAATGATCTCATTAAATTAGTTTCGAAGGGACTGCAAAGCGATACCCTTGTCGTCCGCGAGCTGCAAAATAGGTTTCGCGCGACGGGCTGACGATTTATTAGCTACAGAGCCGCTTGCTCGAAACGTCAGCTCATTTTGAGACAGTTAAGACCTTAAAGTTCCAGTATCTAAAGCGAATCCCACCGAGTCAACGATGCTGTTTTGGCGTTATCTCGTTCCGTTGAAGTTACTACGCGAACTGACACCGAAATACCCCACTTTGCTAGCGTGTTCTACCCTTTCTAAGAACGAAGTCGTGTAAACATAGGTCCAGAAACTCTTTCTCGCGGAACGTGGTGGAGTATTTGTATCGGGGGTTAAAAAAAGGTCCTGAAAATAATTGTCCCAAATCGTTGTGTAAAAGTTCTCGTCGAACTATATCGGTTCGAGTTAAAGTTTCGTATAATTTCCAACACAAAAAATCACGCGAGATCGATTGCAATTTTTTACTTTCCCTTAAAATTATCGAAATAACGAATTACATCCAACGAAAGGCGTTCCCCGCGGAGACGTTCGCGCCGAAAGTGCAAATGGAGCAGAACGTGGAACCGAAACGATTGCCGCGGAACGTCGAGATGGAGAGGAGACGAAGGGTTTATCGAAATTTAAAAATCGAGGACGCTTTGGACGCCGAGGGCGTCGCCGCGAAGGAAATCCTACAACCGTCCGCAATTTCATCGATTCTATCCCGCGAGGATATCTACGGGTTGTTCGCCACCGCTCATCTCCTCCCGCTCGAGATTTTCGACGACCAAGAATACGATTGCAGGCACGGAAACGTTCGAATATTTCTAATATTGCGTCGACGTTCAATTTTTTACACATACAGTATTTTCTCTATATAAGCTCGGAACTCGTCCACGATATAAGCAAATATCGTATCCCCTCTACTTATCCCCATTGCGTATCGTTAGAACCCAGCACACGCTGTATCGGCGAGTGTGCCTTCCTATGAGCGATTCCTCAAGATGGCGGCGTGCTTGACGGTCGATCGTCGAACATTGTCATACGATGCAACACTAGTGCAATAATACAAATTTTTTATTTTTCCTTTTCTTGTTTTAAAGCTTTTAACATGTCTGTGACAGTTTTTTGATTTAACTAAGATCAAGTACAACATAATTTTTATTATTGTTTTTCATAAATTATAATATACATTTGTCCTTTCTTTAAAGTGTCTGCCTCATCTGAAAAAATTAATTGTAGTTTATTTGCTGAAATCGCGAGACAACTCAGAGTAAAATAAGTTGGTTAAACAGTTCAAATTCGCAAGTTGTATCTTTTTGAGTCATATCGCCATTGCAGTAAACGAGCGATACATACATACATATATCTACTGAAGTTATGACACGATTTAACTAGTACATATACAATATTAAATCAACAACGAAATTTATCTTTATTTTTGTCCTTCCTCTTTTCAAACTTTATCGACATATTCGTGACACTTTTCTGATTAAAATGATACCAAATACGATATACAACCAGATCCTATTTACTAACGCAATAAGCGATCAAAGGCATGCATCGCTCAGGTCATTCCATATCGAAATACAGGCGATGTTTACGGGAGTCTATACAGAATCAGTATTTCATTCTGCGACCTCTACCAAGAGGGGTAGAGGTCGGAATTAGAACACCGATTTCGTATAAGCTCCAGAGGTGCCAGAAAGCATCCACGGTGCGAAACTCACGCATGCCAGATCACGCGTACGTGAGCTCGAGGAGTTTCGGAAAGTCGACAAAGGCAAACTGACGCATGCCTTCTTTCTCGGTTCTCCGAAGCTGCCCGAAGTAACTTCGGATCGCCTCGTGGGAGTCGAGAGAGAAAGGCTCACATTTGCCTTCTCGCTCTTAACAACTGAAATCCGACCTCCCGTCAACGGCATACGATTCGGATTCTCGAGCCGAGATTCCCGACTGCTCAGGCATTTTTACTTTCCGACCTATGTAGGCGCACATAAGCAAAGTACCCATAATGAAAAAAAAATTTTGTAAAATTTATTTTACGGAAATACACGTTTTAAGACCCTCTGATCATATTTTAATTATTGAAAAAAAAGATTTTTTTTTATTATTCCCTTGTATGAGCACACATATGTATATTATTAATACGATTGAGTATAAATAGCTAAATGAATTTAAATGAAACTTTACATTTAAGTTTTATGTTCTCATTTCAAAGTCCGGTTAGACTTTGACTATAATCAGTCCATGGATAATAATGATTATACCTCTTGTTTCATAGTTGTTCCGATATATAGGCATACTGTATACAAAATCTTTTAAATGTTTCATTTTGCTTATGTGAGCCTATATACAGTGCCGAACAAAAGTATTGGCACAGACCGTATTTTCAAATAAAATGTTATGTAGCTGTGAATAAAACACAATGTCTTCTTTATTTTTGGTACAAAATATAAGTTTGAGGTTTGAACTTTAATGATATCTCTTACGGTGAAACGACTTCTATTTACTATTTTAGCTATTGAAGAATATGAATTTCCCTCTTTTGATAATTTTAATATAAGTTTTCTCGTGTTTTTCGATACATTGTTGTGTTATTCACTTTATTACAGGCAAACTTAGTAAGAAATAAGAAATGAATATCAAATTAAATCTCGGGACTTCTCTGGATACAACATTCATGCCCATATTATAAATATTTACACAAGTGTTTCATAGAAATATTAAATTTACAAGTGTGCCAATACTTTTGTTTCGTCGAAAACTGCCCTCTGTGTATTTGTTACTATTTTTCATTATTACAGGTCTACTTAACCGCTTTGTTTCGCGAGATACTTAAAGTTCAAGCCTCAAACTTATATTATAAGTAATATCTTAATATTTATACCAAAAAGTATCAAGAAACGTTTCTCGTATATGCTATAGCTGAGCGTTGAGCCCCTAGAGCGTCGCTTCTATAGAGACAATACTGTATTCTGAATAAGAGTTCTCTGTATGCAATGTTACGTACAGAACGACGGAGGATTGGATAAACCTTGGCATAATCGACGGAGTATCGTACCCGTTGCCAGCCACAGTCTTCGTTCCAAGGTACCACGAGGAGGACGAGAGATTTCGGCGGATCGATGATCTGGCAGGGCATTTGTTTGCTTGGCACAACGCTGCTGTTATCAGTTACGATAGCAGGAAGAAATTGTGGACGGTGCTCACTCTGGACGGGAGGAAACGGAAATACTTTATACCGAGGATCTATATCCGGTTCTACGCGGAGGACCCGAGGATCTTCGCTAAAAGAGTGGCCGCTGCTGTCGAGCACAGACGAATCGCCGAAGCTTCTATAAAGTGACTAACACTTCGAACATCAAATATATTTCTCTGAACAAAATTCAACGTCTATTACTCTTTTCACGCAGGTATAATTTCTATTTGGACTGCATGCAGATGGACGGGATGCAGACTTTGAACGAGGGAGAAAAGGAAACTATCGTTCGCCTGATCGCTACCAGGAGCAAATTTAAGAGGAAGCAGATACGGGCTGTGGGTAGAAATTCCTTATAAATTCGAAACTATATCGATGTAATAACCGACGAATATGGCGTGCAAGAGACTTTAACAAATCTCCAGTTTCATGGAAATGAAGTAACCTAATATGGGGAAACGTGTGCTCGCGTCTCTTGTTATGAATTTACATAACTAATCTCGTACTCATTTCATAAATACGTTGTACAGCAAGCTTTGACATCAAAAAGAACATTCATGCGATGAAACTGGTTCACGATACTGCAAAAATCCCCTTATTGTCTCTCATTATCGCAGGAAGTACAAATTACTCGAGCTAACGAAGAAACTTTGTCTATTGTAACGCCAAAGTTTCTCAAGTAACGTGACGTTCGATGTTATACAATCGGCGTGTATTCCGTATCAATTTACTTCAGTTGCGCCAAACTTTGCCAACAACTGAATCGAAGACTGAAAGGAGGGTCGCGTTCACATTCGAAGTTTTAAACTTTATTCCGTTGTCAGGTTTCGGGAGGTATTCTATCGATCTTTAATTGGCGCGTGTTTCAGCTGATGGACGAGATCTGTCTGGATTACGAGCGCACGATGTGCGATCTCATGTGGAGGCAAATGATCGACCGAAATCCCGAAATGTTTAAATTCATCTCGTGGACGCCCGGCGTAGAGGCGGAAAGGGTACCGGAGAAAGGAAAGATCGACACGAGTATGGAAAATTTCACGGTAATTTGCACTTTGGTCCAACTTTAATAGTGGCTGGTCAACGATGAAATTTTTACTTTGTTTGTCTTCCCACTTTTTAACGTCTTTATTGAAAGAAAAAAATGGGGAAAAATGGAAAGAGCGGTATAGAAACAGAGCACAGGGCAAAATTGGGTAATAAGACGGTCGTTTACAAACGCGACCCTGAAATATCGGAAACTTTGTACGAGACGCGAGCGTCGATCGCGAAAACTGAAACCCGTGCTGTTTCCACGTAGGAAACGAGGAAGTTTACCCACTGGATTACGTTGTACGTGCTGCAGGAAGTGTACGAGGCGATGGCCTCCGTTGTGGAGGAATGTATCCACGTGTCCGATATGTGTCTGTTCGCTTCCAATTTTGGGAAGCTGATGAAGTTATCGGAATTCGTGGATGTGGAAACTTTAGCCACCGTAACGGTCATCAAGTATCTCAAGGAACCGTGGTTGGAGAAAATAACGCAGTCCGTGAGGCTGTGTTTGAGGGACGTCGGAAAGGGTTGGTTCAATCTCAAGGAAACGTTCCACGACGTCTACGACGCGATGAAACTGAAGCGTTTCATGAACCTGATCACTCTGCGTATGCAGGTGCGTGGATATCGATGCAAAAACGCTTCTACTCTTGATCGTGTTTTCTCATTATTCGTACGTAGTACGCGCTACGAATGCTCGTGGAGCGTTCGATCGTGGTGTACAGGAAGAGTCTCGAGAATCCTGCGCTGTGCACGTTAGACACAGACGAATCCTTCGTTTGGGGAACGAATCTCGTCGACAGTCGATTCAAGTCCGTCTATAATCCCATCTTCAGGGTGGAGATTCGGATGAATGAGAAGGAGGCGATCTATTCGACGAATCCCGACGAATTCGTAGTAAGTGAGCTTTACGAGAGACATCCTCTATATTTTGATGTTCATGTTACCCCTTGCTATCTTGTTCTTATCAAGAAAACCATCGTGTCGTTGTACGACAACGCGCTCGCCATGTGCCATCAAGTACGACAAGTGCATCCTTTCCTACTTCCGGCGCTGAAGTTTCCGTCAGACCTCTTTATGAGCTCCGTTGGGCTACTCGAGGATCACGTTTGCCACGTTCGAGACCGTTTGAAGCTAGCTTACCAAAAGTCCGTCATACCCTTGAAAGCATATGCCAGAGAATACCACAGGTTCTTGGACCTCTTTAATCTCGATGTTGCCAACTACGTCGAGTGAGTCGCAAATAGTATTACGTCGAAACTTCGCTCGGTTAGATTTTATTAAAAATTCTGTTTCAACGAGTCCATTAATTAATTATTTCCAGAGCGTTGTAAAACGTCTTGACGTCTCTGCGTTTGGACGTAAATAATTGTAAATACTAAGAGTAGGGTCATGAATAAAGTATTACGCCAAGGGTGGCTCAATTACTTCATCCCTCGATGGGTGTTCCTTAAGCGGTTCGTCGCGCTATATTAAATTCCGTTTCATTGTTTAGGGAGTATAAGAATGAAGATGACCTCACAACGGCGGATATAAAGGAGGCAATAGAGGCTCAGATCGCGATGAAAAATAATCTCGAGGCCATTTTGCCCAAGTACATCGCCATCGGGCCGTTCCAAGTGATCGTGCAGCCGTTGAGGGATTTTCTTATGCAGAAACGTCACGATTGCATCACCGGTTTGCTCGCCATGCTCACGGAAAAGTTACGTACGGAGATCGATAGCATTTTGGACGAGTACAGGGACATAAGGATCAAACTGAAGGAAGTGCCGCGTAGCATCGAGCATATATTCGACATTCGCGAATGGATGGAGACCATACCGCTTCGCGTGGAAGAACAGGAGGAAAAGATGAACAGATTGAAGTTCGATTTCGACGTTCTGGACACGTTCTGGTGGAACTTGTCGGACGAGGACTTCCAGGCGAAATGGGAGGCTGTTGGGTCTCCGCTTCAGATTGAATTGCAGGTGGAACTTTTATCGTTTGACAATGTTTGGTTGATATTCTTGAACGTCGATTGACGTTGTTTGAACTTGGACAGATCGAAGAAACTAACGAACAGTTCGTCGAGGAGCAGGAGAAGCTCTATAAGATCCAAGTGCAGGACGAGGTTCTGCTGATCGAGAGGATAGACACTCTGGTGGGCAACGTACAGAACATAGCGCTTCAAACAGACATCAAACGCATACACGAGACCGCCCTCGACGTGAAACGTGTTTGGAAAGCGATGATGGACTGCCGGGAAAATGGACTGCTGCTCAACCAACGACAGAAGTTGTTCGGAATGGACGTCGTGCCGTTCGAGCATTTGCACAAACTCATAAGGGACTTCGATCCCTATAGGAGTTTATGGGTCACCGCTTCAGGCAAGCATCGATCTCGATCGTTGATCACCGAGCATCTCCGGAATATTCTCCTCCGATATAATCGAATGAAATTTCAATAACGTCGCCTCTCTCTAATTTACCGTAATTCGCAGACTGGCTCAGATGGTACGAGGCGTGGGTGGATAATCCTCTTATATACGTCGACGGCAGTCAAGTGGAGAGTCTCGTTGTCGACATGTTCCGCGAAATGACTCGATCCATCAGGACGTTCCAGGAACAACCGAGCAAGTTTACATACTTTGCGACAGAATTTAGTTAAAACGTTACTAATCGATTCTCGTCGAACAGAGGTACAAGCGGTAGCCACGCATATAAGGGACCAAATAGACGAGTTTAAACCTTACATCGGTTTGATACAATCCCTTCGGGAGCCAGGAATGAAGGATCGCCATTTCGAAGAATTGAGCTTGCACACGGGAATACAAATGGCCCTCACACCGACGCTAACGTTCAAGAATCTTCTGGTGCTCGGTATCCAGGAGTTCGAGGAGGTGGTGAAAACGGTGGCCGACACGGCAGCCAAAGAGTACGCCACGGAGCATACATTGAACAAAATGATCGCTGAGTGGGCTACGATCGCGATGGAGATACTCCCATATAAGAACACGGGTAAGTTCTTCTTCCATATTATGTTCGAACGATACAAACTTTTTTCTCTTGTTATTTTCAGGCACTTACATCATCAAGCTCGCAGAGGAGACGATGATGCTCCTGGACAATCACATCCTGGCCGTGCAGCAGCTCAGTTTCAGCCCGTTGAAAACCGCCTTCGAGGACGAGATAAACGAGTGGGAATACAAGTTGAACCTAACTCAGGACGTCCTTCTTCTCTGGCTAGAAGTTCAGAGGTATGTAGTGCTCTGGTGACATAGAATTGATACGTTTGACGATGGAAGTACGGGTCTGTGCGTAGAGACTGGATGTACTTGGAGCCAATATTTACTTCGGAGGATATCAGCATACAGTTGCCGGCGGAAGCCAGGAAATACAATGCAATGGAACGGAACTGGAGACGAATCATGAAGGCAGCGCACGACAATCCTTACGTAATTGCGATTTTGATACATTTTAATCCCGATTCTTGGCTTCCTCGTGATTTTTAGTTGATACAAGGGTCGTCGAATAAGCGAAGAGGCAATAATCTTGCTAATTTTCAATATAATGCCTCAATAAATTCCAAGTGATTTCACAGATCATCAAGATATGTCCGGACAAAAGTCTTCAGGAGAGCTTGCAGGAGTGCCAGAGTTTGCTGGAGGTGGTGCAGAAGGGTTTGTCGAACTATTTGGAGATGAAACGAAAAGTGTTCCCGCGGTTCTACTTCCTCAGCGACGACGAGCTCCTGGAGATCCTGGCGCAGGCCAAGAACGTCCAAGCGGTGCAGCCCCATTTGAGGAAGTGTTTCGAGGCGATCCAAGAGGTGAGATTTGAGGACGATTTGCAGATAACGAGGATGTACTCGGCAGAGGGCGAAGAGGTGATATTCCGACCATCCATGTATCCATTGAGGAGCGTGGAGTATTGGATCGGTGATTTGGAGAAGGTGATGCGTAATACGATCAGAGAGATAATCCAAGAAGCTTTGAGCGTTATCGATTCGATACCGAGGAAAGAATGGGTCTACATGTGGCCGGGACAGGTAACTCTTTGTTGCGGTCAAACATATTGGACCGCCCACGTTGAAGACGGGATCCTGAAGAACAAACTTCGAGCTTACTTCGATGAGCTACTAGACCAGGTAAACGCACATCCATGGTTTTCTACCATGGAGTTATATAGTTCTTGAAATTCCGAAACTGTCGACGGTATTGTTAGTTAATAGGTTGTTGGAAATTGAAGGCAGATATGTCCATGGTTCTCGATTTTACAGGCTGAGTAATGCTGAGTGTACGTTCTGTACGTAGTAATATCCGGGGATCAATGAAAACCACGCTATTTGTGGTGTAAATGTTCATCTGTTTCACAGTCCCTTCCGTCGAATATATTCGTACGTTTTAACTGTAATATTGTGGGTGATGGCATTACAAGTGCCGAAGTATCTTCTAAACTAGTCCTCCTCGCGTCCAACTTCTATTTCTTCTGAAATTAACAATAAGTATCTTCCGCAAGAAAATGATCGTAAGTATGTTGTTGCAGGGAAAAGAAAAAAAAACAGAAAAGAGATAAATGATATTGAACTATCTAACGAACTATACATTTCGTGGTTATCGTAATTTAGTAAAAACGGTTGTTGGTTTATCTAACTGTAACACGTGGTAATTCTCACGCAGCTCGACGATCTACGCGAGCTGGTGCGCGGTCCACAAACCGAAATCCAGAGGCTGATGCTGGAAGCCGTGATCACGATCGAAGTGCACGCTAGGGACGTTCTACACACGTTGGTCGAAGAGAGGGTATCGAACGTCAACGACTTCGATTGGATATCGCAATTGCGATATTACTGGGTGGACGATAGCGAGCTCAAAGTGCGCGCGGTAAACGCCGAATTTCCCTACGGGTAATTCGAACGCTTTTTTTAAACTTACTTCGCGGTCGTTTCCGAGTCAAAATTAATTCGTACATCGATAGAGCGTTTCGGAAACATTTTGGAAATGCCAGGGACGATTATTCGGATGATTATTATCGGTGCACAGGGAATAATCCTTGTTATGTTCCTCAAAGATACGAGTATCTGGGGAACACTGGCAGATTGGTGATCACGCCACTAACCGATCGATGTTATCTGACCCTAACCGGTGCTCTGCACTTGAAATTTGGCGGCGCGCCAGCCGGTCCAGCCGGAACCGGAAAGACGGAAACCGTGAAGGACCTCGCGAAAGCGTTCGCGATCCAGTGCGTAGTTTTCAATTGTTCGGACCAATTGGACTTCATGTCGATGGGGAAATTCTTCAAGGGCCTCGCCAGGTAATTTACCTTTCTATTTTAGGAACTGTAGTACCAATTTCATAAAATTGAGCTGTTCGTTAATTATATTTTATTTACAGCGTTATTCTTCTACAGGTTTTAACTTTTCAATGATTATTAATTGTATTTCGCAGTGCAGGCGCGTGGGCGTGTTTTGATGAATTCAACAGGATCGATATCGAGGTTTTATCGGTGATAGCTCAGCAAATCATGACGATACAACAAGCTCAACAGTTGCGAGTTGATACGTAAGTCATCTAAAGCAAATTAAAAATATGTCTATACGTAAACGTTATTGTTATATCGGAACTGATTGAAGATTTCCACACTTGAAAGTAACGATAAGGGAAACTTACTTGTCAGGTTCGTCTTCGAAGGAGACGAAATCGTCTTGAAGCCATCTTGCTCGGTTTTCATCACCATGAATCCCGGTTACGCTGGTCGCACCGAATTACCAGACAATTTGAAGGCTTTGTTCCGACCTGTCGCCATGATGGTACCCGACTATGCTCTAATTGCTGAAATATCGCTGTTCTCTTATGGTTTCAGCGACGCGAAAGTTTTGGCTGGCAAAATAACAACAACGTTCAAATTAAGTTCGGAACAATTAAGCACACAGGTGGCTAATTATAACACTCCATTTCCTCTTCTTTCGTACTTACTCAATTGGTTCTATTTCCAAACGGAGTTACTAAAACTCATTAGTGGAAACCTTTGTACAGACATCTATTGTCATAGATTTATATTCAGCTTTGGTTCCTTTATGTACGAGTACATCGCTACACAGAATTAATTATTTCGTTTACGTATACAGAAATAAAATTTACTCCATTCAGCGCCGATGGTTCAAATCGAATCAGGACTGAAGTTCTGTCAAAACGTTAAATCCAGCATTTATTTACGCGTATAAAATTGTTGGTTTAAAACGGGGTCAAGCTTGTTTAAATTAAAATCAACCGACGTACTGTCTCGGTATGATCAACAATTTGTCGATTTTAGTTCTTTAGGAGATTACGTATATATTTTAATAATTTAATCAGAAACAATATTGGAACTTCATAATTGTATTCATTATTTACAGTATGATTTGCATCAATGACCGAATTTGAAATTGTTAAAAATTACGAATTATAGAAATTTGGAAAATCGTATTTCGGTATACGAATATATAATAAATAAGTATAATTTTTAAAAAATATAATTATACGGTTTCCATTTCTCCAAATCCTTTTTCATTCTCTAATCGTATTTTTCTCTTAAGCGGCCTTTCTACCTTGTGGGATTTAAAAAATCGAATTTTTTTTTGCGTTTTTTTTTAGTATGTAGTCTCGAAAATATATCTACCAAATATTAAATTGAAATTCTGAAAACTAACGAATTTATGGCCTGCTGAAATGTACCGCGCGCAGGTATAACAACTGGACGTGAAACTATAAAGCTGTTTTTCTCGGAACTACATTTTTCGGAACTGCGTATGTGATAACGAAAAAACTATTCAAAATATCAATATGAAATTTATAAATCATTTTTAAAACTAGTCTCCCTGTAGCATGAACTAGGTTAATTGCGATATATGCAATACTTTTTCTTTTATTAACAAAAAAGCAACCGAATATATGAAAATATTCAGTATTTTTTCGTAAAATAGCTGCAATTTTGCTTCTTTGAAAAGATCCTAGTTCATGCTATAACCACACTCATATACATTAAGAATATCGTTGGTTTTTGGATTTCGGATAACTTGTTCGCAAGATATTACATACGCAGTCGAGCGCCGTTCGTAAAAACTGCTGTTTGTTGATCAACGAAAACAGTGTAATCAATAGATATTGTACGTTGCAAAAATTCGTAAATATAGCTAAATATGTAATAAATGTATCTACAAAACCCGAAGTTAATCGCTCTTTAGTAGCCCGCAAAAAAAAAAATCAGAAAGAAACATGTATTTCTCGTGCCTAAAAGGTAGAATGGCCCCTTAAATCACCGTGTGATCTGTATATCGAATTTCGTGGCGCAATAATTCTCGCGGAGTTCCGCGAGGATTTATCGTCGATTCGAGTTACGGTTCGCAACAAATGATCGCTAAATATTTGCGTTCCCACCACGTCGGTTTTATTTTCGTCCAGGATCATTACGACTTCGGTATGCGGGCGGTGAAGACGGTCATAGCCGTCGCGGGTAATTTAAAAAGGGAACAGAGAGATCTGAACGAGCAGCAGATCTGTTTACGAGCGCTACGTGATGTAAACGTTCCGAAGTTTCTGAAAGACGATTTAACATTGTTTAACGGTGAGCAGCCATTACCCGAGCGTGCGTATAATTCGATATTAAAACGTTTTCTCGAGTGCCACTTGAACGGGAATTGATATTACTTGGAAGTGGCCGTACACTCTCGGTCAAAAGTACCCAGAAACGTTCTAATAATCTATATACAGGGTGTAAACGATAACTTTGGCAAAAATCATAGGGTAAGTAGAGGCCCCATAGGCAACTATTTTAAGCATGGGAACCCGTGTCCGGAAATGCACCAGTAAAAAATTACGGCGATCTTTAACTTCGGTCTTTAGCGCCTGATGGATAGAAAACCCATCGTACTGGAAACTGTTTCTTTTGAGGTGGGTCAGTCGTGTAGGTGACAAAGATGACAAACATTGAAAGTTTTACGATGAACAACGTAAACATTTAATGAAATCATGGTCAAGAAACAATAAACTAAAAAAAGTTTGCCTACCCATCAGGCGCGAAAGACCAAAATTGAAGATCGCCGTAATTCTTTACTGGTGCATTTCCGGACACGAGTTCCCATGCTCAAAATACTTGCCTATGGGACCTCTACTTACCCTATGATTTTTGCCAAAGTTATCGTTTACACCCTGTATATCTATATCTTCTTCTATCTATCTTCTATTATATGTATAATATATAAAATGAAAGACCTGACTCACTGACTCATCAACGCCCAGGCTAAGCCCTTGGACATAAAAAGCTGAAGCTTTGCACAGAGGCTTCCATTATGATGTGTACAAGGAACAAGAAAGGATATTCCAAAATTCAACCCCTAAGGGGGTGGAAAGGGGTTGCAACGTTTTTATGAGGAATATTTTAGTTGCGGTCGGATTTACTTGAAATTTGGTCTTAATGCTCTTTGACATAATTAATCAAACACCTGTTTCGGCATTTTAAGAAATTCTACCCCTAGAGGGATGAAAGGGGGTTGCAACTTTTGTATGGAACATATTTTGTTCGTTGACGGATTTGCTTCATACTTGGTCTTAATACTCATTGATATAATTAAACACTTATTCCGGTTTTTTAAAAAATTCAATCTCTGAAGGGGTGAAAAGGGGTTGTAACGTTTGTACGAGGAATAATTTATTTGTGGTCGGGTTTGCTACAAACTTGGTCTTAATGCTCTTTGATATAATTAATGAAACACCTATTTTGGCATTTTAAAAAATTCAACCTCTGAAGGGGTGAAAAGGGGTTGTAACGTTTGTACGAGGAATACTTTATTTGTGGTCGGGTTTGCTACAAACTTGGTCTTAATGCTCTTTGATATAATTAATCAAACACCTATTTTGGCATTTTAAAAAATTCAACCTCTGAAGGGGTGAAAAGGGGTTGCAACGTTTGTATGGGACATATTTTGTTCGTGGTCGGATTTACCTGATACTTGGTCTGAATGCTCATTGATACACTTATTTCGCGTTAAAGTTACCTTATTTCAATAAATGGATCTAGAAACTTCAAATTTAACATGCAAGTACGGTATTATTATCTTGTCACTAAACCGTTGCAATGGTGTAAATACGCCTAAATATCGGTATGGGTGTCGTTATGAAGGTCTTTTGGGACGTTAATTACGAAAATGGTATCAATTTTGAAATGTAAGATGGCGACATGACATAAAATTAGAATTCTATAAAGGTGAATGGGGGTTTAAAAGGTTTTATTGAGAAACAATATCTATTTCCGAGGGAACTAGACGGTTTCCTGTGCGAGTGAAGCCGTGGGCAAAAGCTATTTATAATTTAAAATAAACACTAGTTGTTACGCAAACGAACGACATTCATTAGCTCGTAATAATCTTCTCTCCACTTAATTAGGTATTGTGTCCGACCTATTTCCGCGACTCGAGGAGAAAAAAGTGGACTACGGGATCCTGGAAGCGGAGATACGCGCGACCATCGTACGAATGGGTCTGGAGGAAATCGATGGTACAGATTTATGTTACGGTTACTTTTTAGAGTCAATATCTCCCCAATATTTAATTCCAACTATCGATAAATAGTCCATTCTTTGATACATCTAGCCTCGTCACTGGCTACTATCGTCGTAGATGCTGTTCAAATAAACGTCGACGTATCCGTCTTACTTGACAGCGACAAAAATGAAATTTCAGCAAGCTCGATGGACCCATTAATACCGACTGTCATGATTTCTCTGTTAAAATGTTATCGCGATTAATACGTGCTGCGTTATATCTATTTCTGTTTCGAATCGCTCCCGCGGTGAATTATGCTTGCAACGTAGTTTATGCGTTGTTTTAAACGAATAATGAGAGACCGTTTGTTGGCTTTCGCGCGCGTAAACGTGCGATGGAAGTACCCGTAATCGCGTTCACGTTGGAATAAATTAAAGCTGTCACGGTGGTTCGTCCAACAATTTTCTTCGACGCTGAACGTGTCTTTTGACAATTACTATTTTACGATTAAATCTCGTTTCTTTGATCGCAGAGTTCGTGAGAAAAGTTATCCAGCTGTACGAAACAACGGTGGTGCGACACGGATTGATGCTCGTGGGTCCAACTGGGTCGGCGAAGACGAAGGTAAGTGTTACTCCGTGACCAGAAGAACCGCTCGAATTAATTCGATCGCGAGGATCCTCGATCACGGATCACGTAACCGAAAATCCCACGTGAGAGGCCTCGAGGGTCCATTCGCGAAAGAATATTCTCCGCGAGAGTCACGCTCAATTATCGAGAATATTCCACGACCCTCTAACACAGAAGGAATCGGGAGTAATTACTTTAACCCACGACGAAAATCAGAATAGGATCGAATACGGAGTTTTTTCGCGATAATTCACCATCTATCTCCGAGATTTAGGACGACCTTTCGAACCTGGCACCGATTCGTTATAACAAAATGTTCGCTCGATGAAGTGCATAAGCGCCAGGTAACCGAAATAACTAGCAGTTCTCTCGTTCCGTCGTAAAATGTTCGATTCGGTGATGCTATCTGGGCATCGCGATTTTTAATTCGTTTTTCTATCTCTCAAGCGTCCAGGCGCAAGTGTAGGTCGTTTTTTAAATTCTCCCGTTGTCAGGTGTTGACGGATCGTCGATAAATACGGAGGATATCGAGGATAGCCAACATTATTTTTATTGGTGCATGCACATCAAAGATACGAGACGTTTCCCGTGCTTCGCCTTAAGAGGGAATTTGTTCTGGAAATTGCTCTAGGGACTGACTCGATGTGTCGAGAAGCGTCTCTTCTTTTGCGCGATAAAAACAAACCGACGCACAGTGGTCCCAAATCCCGAAAAGTTGGCCAAAATATAAAGGAGTTCTTCAATTTAGCTAAAAATTTGTAGGTAGGGGTTATCGAAGTCGCTGATTACGAATCAAAACTCATAATTAGAAAAAACAAAATGGCGCCTCCGATATAGCTCACATATATGCGACAAAAATTTAGGAATCACCTGAAATTTGATACATAGTGGTTTCTGAGGTTGCTGATTACGAATTAAAGGAAAAATTACAAATAAATAATTAATTACATTTATTAAATAAAATAACTCCAAAACATCTTACGCCAATTACATATATAGGGTGTCTCACCCGATTTTGACATCTTGATTTTCTCGCTATTGTTACTCGTAACAAAAAATGTTTCAGCGGAGGCTTGAATGGTATCGAGTGGAGCATATTCTGATATTAGTTTTTTCGAGAGTGGACGCGTAAAGGTCATATAAAGGTCAACTTTGTTTTTTTAAATGGAATGAGGTATTTTTTAATACATCGATCGATTCAGCTGGACAATCGTTATAAAAAAGTACTAACTATGTAACGTCAAAAAATTAGTAGTTCAGGGGATATTTCAATTTAAATAATTCTAAAACACCATTACTGTTGTACTAAGACGTTATATACGTCAATAATGAAGTAGATCAACTGGTTTATTAAAAAATATACAATATTTAATAATAAAAAATTATTTATGCATTAATTTCAAAATTTATTAAATCTAATAAGTCCACCCAAAATTGATTTAGTAACGCGGCGACCCTGCATTATAAAATAGGGTGGTACGACCAGTCGGACAAAAACGGGCAGCTAATTCTTGCAAATTTTACAAGGCCACAGTATCACATACAAGCCTGAGAAAAAATTGAGCCGTGATGTTGTGAAATATACAAGTTTTTGCTTACTTGTTTGCGATGTATGCATGGAATTTTACATTTTATTTTCAGTAATGAATGTACCGGTTTACAAACTTACTGGATAACAATTTTTAATATGTTAGTACTCAGAAATGTTCTATTTATTTCCAGGAACAGCATCCATTTGGCAAAATTGAAATTGATGCCTTCTAAAAAAACTTCTTCACTTTTCACTTTATGGTACGAACTGACGCTTACGCTCTAAGCAAACGACTGACTAGCGAAGCCGAAGTTTGGATCGCAATTGTCATCTAGGTATAAAAATATGACTCATTTCATTTTCCCTACCCTAAAGAGACATCCTTAAACTGATGATTCCAATAGGTAAAACCTACATAGCGAAAAATTATTTTTTGGGGTTTTTGGCCACGATTTTACGATTTGGGACCACTGTGGCGACGTCTAGAATTAATTGCATCATCGAAAAGATGTTTACCTTCGAGTCTCTGTCATCATACGTTCCCAATAACTTCTATTCTATTCGGTATCTCTCCATAACTGCTTCCCTTACTGCGTTGTTTTTCCGCCAGCTATGCAATATGAAATTAACAATTTTCACGTAATTCGATAAAATATCACCCAACTTCTTTAATCCGGTCAATTTCAGTTATCGATGTATCGGGGAACAAAGTGATTCTAACAACTTTTATAAAATAGCAAAACGAAACTCGCAGACTCGATTTTTGTTCGATTTTATAGAATATCGCAACACGGAAACAATTTTCATATTTGAATATTTCGAACAAAATTGTTTGGCGTTAAAGTGTTGCAACCTTTGTTTACCTTTTGATCGTCAATTAAATCCATTTGTCTTTTCCTACCAGTCCCATACTTACTTTCACGCTCATTTCCGGTAGATGTTGGTCTTAAAACAAACCAGGAGTAAATTACGTTTGCTTAGATCATAACGAGGGGAAGTAACGATCCGGGCAGTTGGTTTTCGGGTGGAATCGAGCTTGAAATATAGGATCCCATGAACGGAAACGACTCTTGCAATTAGAGAATTAACCACCGATGGCCGGTTATTAGCATACGAACGACGAACGTGTTTCCTTCGAAATCGATTCTCGCGTTCCGAACGATTACTCGACTTCTATTTTCGCGTGGGACGTGTTACGAACGTAAGAAAAATACTCGAGACGAACACAAAATTTCCATTCCCGATTTATTTCGCTTCCTTGGCTACAGAATTATCGAGCTACAGGGTCGACACCAACGTCAAATTGGTTTAAAGTTAACACTGTTCAACTGTTTTTATTCGCAATAATAGACTATACTTACAGATTGTGAGATTATACATTTGCATAATGAAGGGTGTAAGTTTTATGTTTGCGCGTGTAACTCCTGACGCGAATAACGAGGGCACGTTAACGAAGATCGACCCTAATATGTTTTCTTAATATCCTTCCCGACGAAAACGACCATTTAAATTTACACATTTTATACAACTATGTCGCCTAACGCGCTGCTCGAGACAATTAAGGGAACCTCGGGACGTCTTAGGGGAAGATTAAAAAAATTCGAGGCTCCGTGTTCGTTGTAAATGATGAGTAATGAAACTTATTAACAGAATTTGAGGCAGTCTAATAGTTTCCTGTAATTGGATCGAGCAGAATAATTATAAATATGCATTTAATATTAGTGAGATCCAACATTGTACATATATTACATGTTACTCTATTTACATACTGCGCAATCGTATTGAGACAATTGTGTTGTTTAATTAATTAACATTAATTGGTAACGATCAGAAGTACACCATTTGTACGGTTACTTTACAACCATAAACATTCATGGGAAGATACACAGCGAATAGACCATGCGAATTTTTATTCACGATTGACGAATAAAAAATTTCAGATTCGTTGATCGTGAATGAAATTCGCCCAACTCCGATAGTCGAGGATTATATGTACTGGTTACTACTATACTGCAGATGTTCATGCAAATCTCTTAAAATATTCGTGCAGAAACGTCACTTCGTGAGTATGATTTATAAAGTTGTTCGAACGAAAGTAGTATTTAGAGTTTGTGAGGGTTCGTTGCTTATTTATATTTCATTTGTTTTCCTTAGATTATGTATGCACATCAAACCGGAGACATTTACTTTAGGTAGTTAACTTGTATAGACGTTATGAAATATGCTCGGAGCATATTTATTATGCTTACAGTGTCTGATCAAATCTGGTGCAAGTTGGAGAAATTTATGCTTTCCATATTTATGTAAACATCCACAGTCTAGTCGTTACGCCGTACCATTTACAATAGGTTCATTATGCACATATACTGTTCGACATCGATCATCTTATTAAGTACATTTACAATATGTTCATTGAATATGATTACACCTCGTTACATATTAATGACTAATCCCTTATCGACTAAAATTCTTAAATTAACAATGTGTTTCGATACTCTCTTTTTCGTACACGGTCTCAAGCACACGAAAATGAACGTCACAACAGGCATCCGCGACAGTCGATCAACCATTTTACTCGAGGACATAAAATCGCCCATAAATCTACCGTCGAGATTTTGGAAACCTCAAAACCTAAAAAAAATCTATTTTCAACGCTTCGAGAACCGAAAGATCTATTTATCAATATCATAGAAATCACCGGAACTGTTCGCGAAATTCTGGAAGACCTCCAATCCTGAGGTCGCCATTTTCGAAGCATCGACGATTTATCATCCACGTTATTATCATCACTGTGAGTACGGAAATAATGTTTAACGAAGTTGACAATACCGAAAGATCAGGGTCTAAAAAGCTTCGAAATCCAGATCGTTACAATTCTGTACCGAACGTCTCGAAACGACCAATAGTTTGCCTTTTTGCGAGTCTAGCGTTCGTCGTATCGGATTTCGTGCGAACCAAATGTTACTAGCCCCTCTCCCTCCTCCGTAGGGAACGCGTCTAGTCGATAGCAGACAGGTCGATTAGTGGAAACACCGGTAAATATTCCGAAAGACGTGTAAAGTCGGTCGACGTAGACTCACCATGTAAATCAGCCATAATGGACACGATCTTTGACGCGGAAGAAACGGCCAATCCAAATATTGACGTTGGCAACGGGAGCCACTACCCTTCGTTCTCGTTTAAAACGAGATAACTTGGACGATTTCTTGATTGTGAGACGGTTCTATTTGCCTCGAGAAGTACGTCTTTGAAGCGATCTAGTGCATACCCGCCATTTCTGGGCAAACAAAAGTTTTCCAACCATTAAAATTTTGTATGCGCATTGGAACGGACAGTTTTTCTATCACCTTAGATTTAGGGAACTACATTTAACACCTACGATTTTAAGAAAACGTAAAAAAAGAGAAATCAATTTCTTGTTTAATGTGGACGTTTAAATTGTTCCTCCTTTAAAAATAAATAA